TGCTAGTCCCCACCGACGACACGGGCGCTACGGGGTCTTTGCCCTAGGTGCTGCCGGCTAGTGACTTGAGGACCTTGCTGCGGCTCTCTACTCTATTGACAATTCTGGTTGTGTACGCCGAGAAAGAGTGCAGACTGTCGAAGATAACTCTGAGTAATTTGGGGCTGTTCACTGTCGGAATTGGTTTGTCGTCGACGCGTATTCCCACCTTCCATCTTACCTCTTTTGTCCAGGTCGCAAAAAGGGGTTGCCGAGGACTTGGCAGGGGAGAGGGCTTCTTGCAGTAAAAAAAAACGAGAAATTTCGGAGCGGTAACCATTTACATTCGAGCACAAGTCATCAATTCCATTTCCTGACGCCATTATCGAGCAATCGTCAGCTTATGAGATGATGGAGCCCCTTCTTTTTATGGTTGAGGAAGCTTCGGGATATAGAAATTACATTTCATAAGCGGATAAAGGACACCACCCTGTGAGACACCCTGTTTAATTCTTATTATATCTGGAGATGAGTGACGAATACCGAATAATCAGATAATTCGCTGACCACCGTTTGAGTCCCTGTTGGAGAGAGGTAGCCCTAATATCCTCTAGTAGCCTGGAGTGGTAGACGGTGTGAAACGCCTTTGACAGATGCAACGCTACTACGAGTGTTCTCTGACAGGGACGGTTTCGGTTAGAGTACCCATAGACAAATTGAGGACCTTGGTGATGTAGTCTATTCCATCGGAACCAAGGACTTTGGAGTTTTCCGCCTTTCCTATGGCTACCAGAACCTCACCGCTGGTGAAAGCAAGAGGCGCACTGGTTGTTGGCTGTTTGTGCAGCCTTCGGTTCCACCGTAGTATGCAGAGCGAACCGTGGGCTAAAATAGCATGCGTATCGCTCCGAGTCTGACGAGACGCGGTCGCCGAAAGGGATTTGCACTTTATCGTCGAACTTCGTCGGGCGAGATTATATTGCAAGTCTTCAAATGCTCTCCCACTTCTTAGGCTGACGTAGGTTTACTAATTTCCGAATCTCTGCGTTAACATCCCTGACGTGGAGATTTCCGTCATCGGCCTGGCGATGGTTATGACGTACAGCCGCTTCAACTGGGAAGTTTGGGCGGTGAATAGTTAAAGCGGGCAGCTGCAGCAGTGAAAACCTTGTGGAACTTACGTTCACCTGCATGAACGCCGGTTGGTGCGGGAAGGGCAGCTTTGTTAAATTTGACAAAGGTTCGGCGTTCCGCGAAATCAAAGTGAGCAGGTTTATCAATCGAGATAATTATGGGCAGCTGGTCAGTCACGTTTTGCTGTTTATCAGACCAGCGATTACTACTGTTATGTATATCGGGTGAGCTACTGCAGCTGGCCATAGTCCTGCTGCGTGTGTTATTGTCCATTGCGCAGAATATCAAGCGTCTATGGCTTTGGTAAGTACATATATTCCCCTACGATCACTCGACAGGCTTGAATACCAATAATCGTGGTACGCGTTGCAGTCACCCACTACCATACGGTTTTCACCTCTGAGCAGCGCACCTGTATCAGGGTGATATCCTGCTGGGTAGCTGATAACAGGGTGTATGTAAGCGTTGAACATTTCAAGCATGACAACGCCTGACCGCGTAGCAATACCCTGACATTCTAGGATGGTGACACTGCGGTTGATGTTTACTTCGATAAAACGATACCGCATGGTAGGAGAGGTGATTCGTGATGAACGCAAGTCAACAATGTTGAATTGCTGTGTGATTTCGTCTCTTGGACCTCAGCTATCAACATTCCTTGCCGACCCACGAAGACAATTCGGGGTGTTAATGAGGTGTGGTGTTGCCGGCCGGGTATTTCTTGTATGCGCTGAATTTTGGTGTTAGTAGGCGGCGTCGCGGATGGTATTTGCCGTTGTCCAGCTCTGCAACAAGGCCTTGGAAGTTACTCGCTTATTCTCGAGTGGTGCTCAATCCTGAACATGTCCTAAAGTGCACCAGCCAAGGCGAGAGTTGCATTTGACTGATGTCGCATTGTGAGAAACTAGGAACTGTTGATTTGTCCTCGCTTGTGGCCCGCGGCGGCGTTTGAGTGGGGCGTGGTTGTCTTATGAGTGGTGGGGCGCGTTATGATTGTGTTGTTTAGGTGAGCCATAGATTCTGCCTGGCTGTTTGGTGGGAGGGTTACGTGCTATATGTTGTGGGTCACTGGAGCAGCCGTGTTGTTTGTTAGGTTAGAAAAGCCCAAGGCCACGAATGACTTGATCCACTGTCGGTGAGTACTGAGGCCTGAACAGGTTCTGACACGACTACATCCATTGCAGGTATGCACCTAACTGATGTGTAGTTTAGGTGTAATCTTCTCTGGCATACGCAGCAGGTATAGGTTTCTGGTTCAGGTTTTGACTCGATGCCAGCACTGTGCAAAAGAATGCGGAGCAGATGTTGCCCTATGGACGAACAACGTAAAGAGTTTTCGCCGACCTAAACATGGTCAGATCACCGAAACAACAGCCCTTAATCGGGTAAAAGCAGAGTAATCCGTTACCAATTTTGGATATCTTTTTAGCAAAGGTTCAAAACTAAATATATGCAATCTGTAGCTTAGGTTAGGTTATTCTGGCTGGCTGACCGCCCCACATAGACCAATAGGTCTCTATACCAAATGGAGATAGAGGTGCAGTTAAGTATGTTCGAAGTATACATCACTTAGGATGTCAACGCTTTTGAGAGTGTTGTCACGTCTTCAAGATTATTAAACTCTGGAGCTCCGAGATATTTCAATCGTGTTTTTGATAGAGCAGGACAATGGCATAGGATGTGTTCTAGGGTCCCCTTTGTTCCCGTCCCCATGCATTTCCTGCAAACTTCACTGACAGCAATCCCCATTTTGCTTGCGTGCGCTGCCAACATTTTATGTCCTGTTAGGACATCTATCATAGTTCCGCAGTCTCTTCGTGCCAGCGATAGTATAAACCGTGTTTGTGTCCTGTTTTCCAGTCTGCATATGTCTTTAGAGATTTTACAGGTGTTTAGCGCATTCCATTTCGATATGGTCGGCTTTTTCACCCTCTGGTCTATTTCCTTATAAAGCTTTTTAGGCGGTTTCGGAATGTTGTTCTCTTGTTCTAGAACCAAGTGGAATTTCGTTACCTGTAATTCCCTTGTGGCCGGAGACCCAATAAATATGCAGCCGCCTGGTTGTTGCTGCCCTATTTATGGCTTCCCTGCTTCTAAGGGCATTTTGTGACGTAAATTGGTATGAGTTAACTTTACAGTTGTTTTCAGTCATTGAGTAGGCTAGCTCAGCGGCTTTTCCGACTGCGAAAAGCTCTACTGTTCAACTTTTATATTTCAAAGCTCCCTCAACCACCAGAGGGAGTCACGATTGTCTCTTACGACGACGATTGCTCGATCATGGCGACTGGGAATGGAATTGATGACCTGTGTTCGAAAGTAAACGGGTATCTCTCCGATCTTTCTCGTTTCTTCACTGCAAAGTGTCTAGCCCTCTCCCCTACGAAATCCTCTGCGACCTTGTTCACCACCTGGACGAAGGAGGTCAGGCTACCGCTGGGAATTCACGTCGATGATACACCAATTCCGACGGTGAATAACCCAATATACTCGGAGTAACATTCGACAGCCTGAGTCAATTCCCGTTCTGCGATATCGTGAAATGAAGTGAAAAGTATAAAATTAACATCGAAATAATTGCGGTGTGAAGGTATTACTTTTATCACTTTTTTATCACGATAACGCAGAACGGGAATTGATCCTCTGCTCTCCTTCTCTGCTCACGCCACCGCTTTTGTCAAAAAAGTACAGAGCCGCAACAAGGTCCTCAAGTCGTTAGCCGGCAGTACCTGAGGCAAAGACAAAGAAACATTGCTGGCAACATACAAGGCAATAAGCAGGCCGGTTTTAAACTACGCAGCACCAGTGTGGTCGCCGGGGACTAGTAGGACGCAGTGGATGAAGCTACAAACAGCACAGAACACCGCACTCAGGACAGCGACTGGATGCCTCCTGATGTCACCTGAACACCACCTCCATGACGAGGCGAAAATGCTCCCAATCAAGGAGCATAACATAATGCTCTGCAAGCAGTCCTAGGAGCATCCGCCTAGGCACGTCAGGAGGCATCTATACGAACTGACGTACGAAGTCCAGAGGTTCATTAAGCAGCCTCTGGACCCGTCAGCATACCGACAGGCCCTGAACGGCATTCACAGGGACTCAGTCTCTAGTTATGTAGACTCTAGACCTGTGAATGCCGTTCTAGGCACACAAACACCGTACATTGACGTGACGGAGCTCCATCTGCCTCGGGAGACAAGAACAACAATCGCGCAACTTCGCTCTGGCTACTGCAGCAGGTTAAACTCATACCAGAGTAGACTAAATGCGGATGTGCCAAATGAGTGTCCGGCTTGCGGAGAGACCCCTCACGACTCGAAACATCTCTTCGCATGCCCGGAAAACCCGACAACCCTAACGGCGTTGTCCCTGTGGACCGACCCTGTAGAGGCTGCACGCTTCTTAGGGCTGCCGTTAGTGGAACGCGACGACAACGACTGAGATATCAACGATCTGGGCGGGGTTGTTGTAGTCGCTACAACAACAACAACAACTGCGAAAACCTCTTCCTGGAATATACTGCAGTGAACCGGCAGCTTGATGGGCCGACGAACACTAGGTTCTGAGGAGTACACTCCCGCTCCTACTTCATCATTTTTTTTTAGCCAGTCCGTGGTGGCATGCCCTTTGGCTATTGAGCTATGGCCAGTGTTTCTTTGCTTGAACTACACTGTTGCAATCAGTCTCCCCGCGGATTTAGCAGCAAGGCTCTTTGCCGCAAGGTCGATAGGTGTTATATTGACTGAACTTAGAATTTGTGGATGAAGGGGTATATCTTTTTAATTTAATATGGCAGCATTCCAAGTTCGGTGACTTTCTTTTGGTAGCACTTTCGCACCGCATACAAAATAAATACACACTCACACACAGCTGCTAAAAAATGTCACCCCCACTGTCAACAAGCATAGAATTGTCAATTGAAATGTCAAAAGTGGTAAAAATTTGGAGTGTAATCTTCATTTTTCGGGTTGCGTGATACAATTTTTGGGATTTGGAAAATTTACGTTCCAGAATATACAGGCTATCTATTAAAAAGTGGATTTCCATATATAAATGACTCTTTCATAATATGCATTAAGTATATCTTCACTTTTGTTTTGCGTAAGGTGCAATTAATTATTTTTAAATGCTGGATTGAGTGCACCGTCACTCATACCAACGCAATTTTGCGTTTAATGATAGCAGCAGCGGAAGCAGGCTGATTCATATTTCAGGACAACAGTGGTTAGCCCAACGAAAATAGCTGCTAAGGGAAATGTGGGTGACTGACTATACGCATTTTTACATTGTTATTTTCCATTAATATACTATATACACGCTTATATTGTAGTTGGTATAGAAATATTCATTTCAGATTCAAATATTCCTTAACATCAATATCCAAGCAACATGTATCAGAGCGCCTGCAATGTCGCTACGACTGGCTCGTGCGCACCCGGTACTGAAAATGACCGCGAAGCAGAGCGTCAGGCTGCGCTAATGGCACAACAACCGCCCACTGCGCCCGTGGAGCCCGACTACAGTGGTTTTGATATTGTCAAAGCGACACAATATGGCGCTATAGCGCGTGTGCGCGAGCTCATTGAATCAGGTTGGGATGTTAATCAACCTGATAGTGAGACAGTAACACTGCTCCATTGGGCAGCTATCAATAATAGACGCGACATAATACGTTATTTCCTGGAGAAAGGCGCCATTGTGGATGCAATAGGAGGCGAATTGAATGCTACACCTTTGCATTGGGCCACACGTCAAGGACATCTTGCCTCTGTTGTCTTGCTTATGAATGCTGGCGCTGACCCACGAATACGAGATGCTGAGGGGTGTTCCTGCATACATATTGCAGCTCAATTTGCGCACACGGCATTAGTTGCATACTTTATAGCAAAAGGTGTGGATCCAGATTTGCAAGATCGTGGCGGAATGACAGCGCTTATGTGGGCGGCATGGAAAGTATGGAATTTTATTATAAAAATTTATGATTTCCCCTTTGTGACTACTTTTTCAATGTTTTACGCATTAGGTTTGCGCACTAGATCCTGTACGTTTATTGCTCACACTAGGGGCTAATCCCGCCATGGTTGATTACACACACGGCAATACAGCGTTACACTGGGCAATACTCGCCCGCAATGCTACTGCCATCTCTACGCTAGTACTCAAATCACGCGCCTCCCTCGATGTTCCTAACCTGCGAGGCGAAACGCCCTTATCGATGCTGGAAACACAAGCGGGCGCCATATGGATTGGAGCTAAAGTATTAGATCGCGTACGGGAGGCATCACACAAATCACAACCCCAACGGTCAGGAATATCGCGACTACGCCATGATAAGCGTCTACGTTGGTGGGCAATGGTGGCATGTCCATTTACCGCCTTCTATCTGGCAGGTGTAGTATTTACACTGAATACACTGTATATTATTAAATTCTTCCTGCTTGGCTGTCTGTACGGCATTTTCCATACGCTCGGAAAAGCGTTATTCGATGAACATTTGTTGGCGTTGCTCCCACTAAGCGTATATCTGGCTTCGAAGGCATGGTTCTATGTAACGTGGATTGTTTATATCGTAGACGCGGTTTCTTTTGGCGAAACGGTGGTTTTTCTGTCTTGCTCCGCAGCGCTTTGGGTGTGCTTCATCAAGTCTTGGAAGGGAGATCCGGGCATCATACGACCAACGCAGGAACAACGATTTAAAGTAAGA